TGCATGCCATTGAGAGATTATAGGGTAGCTTTCCCCACTGCCAAGGAAAGAGGATCTGAGGCAGGATCAAAGATCAGATTTGGGTAGGTTATTAAATGCTGACGGTTCTTCTTAAATGCTAATCCAGGAAAAAGGAAGCAATGGATCTGACTCTTTGGAATAGCTCAGAAACACGCAAGTCCATGGTTTTGTTTCATTTGACAAATCTTTAATTCTTGTAGAAAATTATCAAAAAAGGGAAATGATCAAATGGTGTGAGAATTTTGGGGAAAAAACAGTAAATCATAGAATATTGTATGGGATGGGGGACTAAAAAAAGGGAAAGAGTAATTTGCAAGAAAAGATTTTGGCCTCTTCCAGTAGGAAAATATTATTTGGAGTTGTTTCGTTTTTTTAGGGCAAATATGTCCATTATGAATGTGCCTGTGTGTTTGGGCTGCGCCAGACTCAGCCTTTATATATAATTGGAGGTAGGCTTGAAGAGGTTGCGGTTACTAAGGGATTTGTTTTGCAGTTGTGTTGCCTGGTAAGCATAGTGTTTTTACTAAACTGTTGTGTTTATCGGGGTAGCTTTGCAAGTATCCTCTTTGTCCCATTTCAAGCTGTTCTCTTTGGTGTTGTGCTTTTAAACCTTTGAATATATATTTTTGCAATCTGTTGTCATGAACTAATGACAAATGTAATATACAAAAATACACACAGCTGGACAGTGGGAAGAGCTATGTAAAGGGAAATGTATTAATCTTACACTAAGAGCTTTTATTATCAAGCGAGCCATTATGTCCTCTGCCTTACTTTGAAACCACTCGCCTTTCATTATTGTAACTTTTGCAATGCCTCATTTTCCCCACTAGCTATCCTCTAGTCCAGTTAATTTAGCAAGAACATGTTTACAATGGATCACTTAAGCAATTGGAAAGTTTAAATGGTTAGCCATGTCAGTTATGTTGCATAAGGATCAAACTCCTTTAAGTAAAAGGACAAAGTTCATAAAAATAACTCTATCTTTACAAGTGCATTAATCAGAAACAATATTATGAAAAATAAAACAAAACAACCTTCCGTTGATGGATGGTAGCTATTCACAATTCCTTGTGGCTAGATGCACTTAAGGACTTAAAATTGAATATTCAGGGTGTGCCTTATGCTGTTTAGCTCCCTGACCTTATTCTCATCTGGAAATTTTTACTGCTCCAGACAACTGATATGATGCAGATCCATACTCTACCTACTCTTCAGTATTTTCTTCTGTTTCCAAATGAGATTTTCTTAGGGAAGATCTGGTTAGAAGCTAGGTATGCAAAACATGTCTACAGCATGACAAGCCAGAGGAGTGAGGGTCAAAAAACTGGTTGTAAAATTTAAGGGAGACACTAGGTTTTTGTTTGTTTTTGTTTTTTTTTGAGTTGGAGTCTCACTCTGTCACCCAGACTGGAGTGCAGTGGCCGCTCCCGGCCACTGCAGCCTCGACCTGCTGGGCTCCAGTGATCCTTCGGCCTCAGCCTTCCAAGTAGGTGGAACTACAGGCACGCGCTACCACACCCGGCTAATTTTTGATTTATTGTAGAGATGAGGGCTCACCAAGTTGTCCAGGCGGGTTTCGAACCCACAGGCCCAGGCAATCCACTCACCTCAGCCTCCCAAAGTGCTGGGATTATAGGCTGAGCCACCAAGCCCGGCTGAGACACTAGGTTTAAATAAACACATTCACCTCAGTGATCACTTTACTTCCCCACCCTGCCAACCTTTCTGACTAATCTGGCCATGTACTTAGAGAAAATGAAATTGCCTGAACATGGATCACCCTGGGTATTCTCTGCAATAATTTAGTTAATGTAGTTCTCTTTCGTTCTCTGTCAACTGCATGCTTCTGGACCACCAATACTTACCGTCCTTAGGACTGATTATATACAGTAATCAACTTTACAGAAGGTACATCTATATATATAAACTATAACTAGGACGTTGTCTTTAAATAAAATTACACAGTATGCTTCAAAGCTATGTGTGTGATTGTGGGATGTGAAGCTGACTAGCTACTAACACTTACCAAATAAAACCTCAGAGAAATACCAGGCTTTCACCACTAGGTGGAAATAGAGTAATTTTGAGTATATTTTTTCAAGGCCATGAACTACTGAAGAAGTACTTTATAAGCTGAAAGGAACCTAAGAAAGCATTTAGTCCAGATCTCATCTTCTTAATTTCATAGATGACAAAACTGAGGTTCAGAGACATTAAGTAAAATTGCATCTGTTTTACAAAAAGTAGTCTTCTAGAGCTACTGGAGGAAGAGTTGCTAGTAATTCTTGATTCCTTAGTCATTTTCATCCATAAGAATAACGTCTTATCTTTTATCATAAAGAAAGACATGATGTGACACCTATATTACCTATTCACTGTTACTAAAAATAATGGCCAGCACAGTTACTAATGTTTGTAAGGATAGGCTAGGATAAAACTACTGTTTATTGTTTCCTATATTGTAATTAACAAGAAAGTAATGACTCTCCATTTTCCCTATGAATGTTCATAAAGTTATATGATACTTTAATAATATTTGTTTTCACAACATTTTGTTTTCTTATACCTGATAGTGGGTTCAAGTTAAGTAGCCTAGAACAGGGCTTGGCTTAGCAGGTTAAGGGAGTATTTAATGCTTTTCAGAGCTTGACCCATTACCATTACTCTTAAGAAATAAAGAGACTGAATATTTGAGCTTGAGCGGTGTTAGAAAGAATCTACTCCAATTATATATATATATATATATTTATATCAATGAGGCATCTGGGAACAACGCATTAAATTTTTGCCCCAAGTAGCAGAGCAACCATCATGTCCTTCTTTCTTCCACATGAGATACTAACAGGTATTTTGACCTTATATTTTTAGGTTTTGTTGCCATGTTTTAACCACAAAGGAATTATTTTCACTCATCACATCAAAAATTGTGTTGAAAAGTTGTTTTAGCTAATGCTTTGGGGTTAAAAGCCATTTCCTATGTACCTAAATGTATAGTACTCCAGTGCCTGTCTGCCTTTCTTCCCTTCTCCCTCTTCCCCTCCACCCTTGTCTTTCTGTCTTTTTGTTTTGAGACAGGGTCTCACTCTGTTGTCCAGACTGGAGTACAGTGATGTCATCTAGCTCTCTGAAGACTTGAACTTCTGGGATCAATAAAGCAATCTTCCTGCCTCAGCCTCCCAAGTAGGTGGGGCTACAGGTGCATGCCACCATGCCCGGTTAATTTTTAAAAATTGTTTTGTAGAGATAGGGTCTTGCAGTATTGCCCAGGCTGGTCTCAAGCTCCTGGTCTCAAGTGATCCTCCAAATTTGGCCTCCCAAAGTGCTGGGATTACAGGCATGAGCCACTGTGTCCAGCCAGACATTTTCCTTTTGATCGTCTATAACACCATAGATTATGATAATTTAAAAATTAGTGTCCCAGTACTGAGTCCTGACTATTATTACCATATTTGATACAAAAATTGATAAAACATGTTGAAATTGCACATAGAGAACTCAAGTCCAAACACCTAGAAATTGCCTGCTAGGAGTTGCCCTAAGTGTCTAGAAGCCCATGCGTGCATAACTGAGCAAAGATTGCATTCCCTTTCCCTTAGAATATGAACATTTTCAAGGCAGTAAAGCCCTGAGTGTGGAACCTGCAAACACTTAGTGGGACAACCACTAAGTACTAAAATGGTATACCACAAGGAAGACTAGGGTGGCCCTAAAATTAGGGCAGGGGCTTGAAATGAAAGGATGCAGTGTAGGGGAGTAAATATCCTGCAGGGTGCTGGGAAATGGTAAGCCCACCTCAGGTTTCAATTTTGTTAAGGATGATACAAGAACTAGCTAGTGTCTTGGTATGGTGACTGTGGCCTCTACACAGAGCTCCATCACAACCACAGTGAGGCAGAGATAGTCAGGTGTGGTCCTATTCCCTAAAGTCTTTTGGGAGGACCTGGATCCAGACTCTGATTCTACCACTGTGCGAACTTTTCTTGCCTTATTTACTCTTTGAGGAAAATTGAGACAACACTCCAGCAAAACTTTAGTGGAGATTAGAGTTAATGGCTATAAAGTGCCCGGGAAGGGCAGCATCTAGCACATAGTACGTACTCAATAAATGAACACCATTTCTACTAAAAACAGACAGCCTGTGTGACAAATTTTCCACCTCACTCCATCTCACTTCCATCAGGGACCCGGGAACACCAAGTGAAAAACTGTGAAAAGTACACTTTGACTACACACAAGTATAGGGTAATTGTTTGAACCCTAAACATTGCGAAATCTGAGAAGAAACTGCGAAGGCCTCATTCAGCCGGGAATACAAACGATAAAACATTCTTGAATGGGAATGACAGTCACTGAAGGTTAAACTTCCTACAGAGTTTTAGTTTAGAAACCGAGCTTCCTGAGACAAGCCCCATTCCACCCAGCACCTTCTGATAAAATCATCTAGATCAGCTCAGGCACACACCCACCCTGAGGCCCCAACTGGGCTAGGGGTGACCTGAGGGTGGACAGAGCGGTTTCTCTTAACAGGGCATGGGATGTGGGTTTGCTCGATAACAAAGAGCAGAAGGTCAGGGAAGCAAAGAAGTTTATCAATCAACCAACCAAACAGCGGATCAATCAAGTCCTGCATTCCGGCCCCGCGAGGGCGAATCGATTCCTCTGACGATTTTGAAAGAAAACACGGCGGCGGCTTGGCGATCGGACGGAGGGGCGCAGGCGAGGCGAGGCGGGGCCGGGCCTCCCGGGGGCCCCTCCGGCTTCCTGGGCGTGGAGGCGCGGGAACGTGCAAGGGCTGGCGTCCGGGGCGGCGTGGGGCGCGCCGGGCAAGTCCCCGCTTGCAGGAGGTGCCGGAGGAGCCCCGGCGTCCTGGGGCAGGTGGAGCCGGTTCGCGTCTCCAGACCCCGGGCGGAAGGCCGGGAGCGCCCGCAGGGGCGGGGCAGGGGCCGGGAGAGGTGCGCCTCCCATTGGCCGCCCGGCGCCGCGCCGCGCCCTCCGCCCTTATAAAGCCGCCGCCGGCGCCGGGAGCCGCACCGCACGCACCCCACGCGGAATCCTGCGCTGCTCGCTCTGCACGCCCCCCCCGCGCCCACCATGGCCACCGTTCAGCAGCTGGTAGGAAAATGGCGCCTGACGGACAGCAAAGGCTTTGATGAATACATGAAGGAGCTAGGTGAGGCACCCGGCCCGGCGGCGTCTGCAACGTGGCCTGTTTGCGTGTGGCCGTCTGTCCCTAGGTCCCCATCAGCGTGCCAGACTCCCGGGTGGGGGAGATGCTCGGCTGCTCCCCCTCCCCTCTTCCCTCTCCCCACCACCACGCGGCCTGTGGGTTCAGCGCGGCGCCGCACCACGCGGGCGACCGGCGAGGAGAGGGGAGCCCGCGCCTCCTGCCGGCTCGCGGGCCGCAAGATCCCGGAGATGGTCCGCCTCGTGGTCCACCTACCCTCTCTCCTTTCCCCGCGCCCAAGCGGCAGCCACCCGGCTTGGCTTCCTGTCCTTTAGCGCGCACAGCTCCCACCCAAGCCACACTGCTTTCGACCCCCTTCGGGCAGCCCCCCTAGCTTTCCCTCTTTTTCCTCCCCACTCCTGCCACCATCCTCCCTCTCCCCGGCCCCATCGTGGCGGCACCCGCTGCTGCATCTTTTGTTCCTCGATGGCGTGCGGGGCTGCCTTCCTCTCCTCCTTGGGGACGTGGTGCCGGCGCGCTCTTTCCAGCAGGAATCCTAGAGGGTCTGAAGGCAGTTGCGGCTTCAGCTTCCATCTCGCTGGCGGCCCCATCTCCCCCAGGTCCTCCGCCCGCCCTCACCGTGAGCCAGGCACCTTTGGTTGGTGGAGCACCGGGGCTTCCTCGCCGCCGGGTCCTCGAATTGCGCTGAGAGGCGTGGTGGCAGTGGTAACACTGACGGCGCTGACAGCGCTGACCTGCTGTTGCCACTGCCGTTGGGGAGCCGCAGTGGGCGGGTGGCCAATGGGAGGAGCGCGATGAGGCCGACGGTGCCTGGGAGTGACCATGCGCTGCCATCCTGACCACTGCATCTTGAGGGTGAGGGGCAAGAAGCCAGTGGGCTTTGCGGGAAAACCATAACAGAAACCGCAGACAAGATGGGTGTGGCCCTGCAGAAGGCAGTTGACATCTAAAGCCTTCCAAAGGAGCATGAATCTCTGTAGGAAGATTCGATTTCTCTCTGTCACTCAAAATAATTATTTTTAGTTACTGTACTTTTCCAAGTCAGTGACACCGATTGCATGCTGGTTGAGACATTAGGTAGATAGCAAATAAAAATGGACCTTGGCCACAAGCCTTGAGGAAGTGGAATGGAGTTAGCACAACATGGATCCCTTCTAGTAGGGGGCTTCCAGCCCTAAGAGACTGCTGGGGATTACAAGTGTACTGCAAAAGCCCATATCCACACTTGTTAACCCAACTGTGCTCTGTAGTCACTGTAGCACTTCAGAGTCATTCAGTCACTACCCTTTATCCAAGGCAGTGTGGTGTTAGGGCTGGTTTATGGTAAATCATGAGTGTATTTACGATATTGTCAGTAAAAGAAGAAAACTTTTTTTTCTCCTGTAAAGCTAGATCAAGATGACTTTGCGAAACGACATTTACTACACTCATCCAAGAAATACTCTGTGTGTGTGTGTGTGTGCTTGTGTGTGTGTGTACGTGTACATGTACACACATGGGTGTGAGAATACCACTTCTCTGCCTGGGGAAAGCGGATTGTGTTCAGGTTTGGAGGGCTTGTTTCCAGGATTCTGGAGTCATGAAGGTTGTTAAGACTCAATTTATTAGAGAGCAATCAAAATGTGAGAAGAGCAGAGTCCATTTCTTTGTCCAAAGTGTTAATAAGTAATGCCTCAACTAACAACACAGGGCAACCAGCCCTCACCTGGCAAAAGAAAAGGCTCTGCGGGGAAATTTAAAGCCTGGCTGAGTGTTCCTCATCAAGACAATTATGCTGCGTAGGTTGTAGTCTCCTCATGTAAGAAATGGGGATTTGACCCAGATCTAAGCTTTCTTGTACATTTTAGCTCTGAGGGGAGTTACACAGATCATAAATTAACATATAATTCAGTAATATGAAATTTCGTTGCTATATTGAGTTATTAGCTATGAAATGTTTTCTATTTTTGAGGGTAAGGTTTTTTCCATTTATTAGCATCATGATTGTACTGCTAAATATCTCAGGACTGATCTCTATTATGTATAGTCTATTAATCAAATATTTATCAAGGGCCTTTTATATACCAGACTATGGGCTGGAGTCATAGAATATAATGATTGTCAGAATCTGGTAAAAAAAGAAACCCAATAAAAAGAAAAAGACTGAGCAGAACTGTGAGTTTGCAGTTCTGAATGCTTTATCTCCACCTCCTATCAACTACTTTGAGTAAATAAGTTTTAGAATTCCATATTTCTTCCCTTACTTTGGGAAAGCCAATGTAGCATGGTGGCCAAGGGCTGAGACTTGGTGCCAGATTACCTGTTCCGTTGGTTCCCAGCTCCATCACTTCCTAGCTGAGTGAGGTTAGGCAAGTTACTTCATTGCCTCACTTTTTCATCTGTAAAATGGAGACAGTAATATTTACCTCTCACAGAGTCGTTGGAAGTCTTACATGAATTAATTTATGTAAAGTGCTGGCTAATGGTGAGCACTGGGTGTTGACAGTAGTTATCAATAAGCAAATAAGTGAAAATAGGCCACGCATAGTGATTACAATGGAATTATTGCTTTCATTATATGATTGATAACTTTGGGCTTCTTATTATTATTTAACATGACTTAACCATTCTACAGGAGTGGGATTAGCTCTGCGAAAAATGGGTGCAATGGCCAAGCCAGATTGTATCATCACTTGTGATGGCAAAAACCTCACCATAAAAACCGAGAGCACTTTGAAAACAACACAGTTTTCCTGTACCCTGGGAGAGAAGTTTGAAGAAACTACAGCTGATGGCAGAAAAACTCAGGTCAGTCATGACACATTACAGAATCACAGAAACATCTAGAGGAATGCTAGGTTGTGGTAATAGCATTTTTACCATTGATAGGCAAGAGCTTAAAGAAAAAGTTATTTTATGATCTGGATTTTGACAAATTGATAAAAGTGCCCACTTCATAGAATGAGTATCTTATATGAGCTTCTAGATTGGACTCAGAAAGGAGAAGATGGAAAAAAAAAAGATGATTAAGTACGTTATGAGTCATGGAAACCCTTGTAACATACTTCAGGAGATTAAAAAGTATACTTTATTTTTCCAGACCGTCTGCAACTTTACAGATGGCGCATTGGTTCAACATCAGGAGTGGGATGGGAAGGAAAGCACAATAACAAGAAAGTTAAAAGATGATAAATTAGTGGTGGTAAGTGTCAAAGTGCTTATGTCTTACTGTGCTTCTTGATTGCTGTCAGTTTGCGTAACTCTTCTATATCGTGGATCATTAATAGGAGTACTAAGTTTGGGAAGGAAAAAAAATACAAAATAACTAGTCCAATACTTGAACGCTATGTTCGAGGAAAGCCTTTGTGGAGACAGAGAAGTAGCAATGGTGTAGCAGAAGACGTAGCTGGAGTTGAGTGTCGTCCTTACTCTGCTGCCACATTACAGTGAGATCTTGGCAAGCCACCAGACTGCCCACTTAAGGCATCCATTTTTTCATTTCTTTAAAGTGAACAGTATTTGCCAAGGCCAAATGAATAATTTGGGTGCACTCAGTGCTTTAGTTTTCAATAAAGCATATGCATATTATAAGCAAAACAATAGGTTCTAGCTTCTCTCAAGCCCAGGAATCCTAAAACAAATTTTCTCCATCTATGAAATAGATTACATGATTTTCTAATCATAACATTTTATTGGCACCTTTGCTCTGGAATGTAAGACCTAACTCTTTAATATTATTCTTTCTCCTAGGACTGTGTCATGAACAATGTCACCTGTACTCGGGTCTATGAAAAAGTAGAATAAAAATTCCATCATCACTTTGGACAGGAATTAGCTATGAGAATGAACGAGCTCAGTTCAATGAGCAAATCTCCATAATGCTTCTTTTTTTTTCATTACTGTGTTCAGTTATCTTTATCACAAACATTTTACATACAATTATTTCAAAGTGTTGATTTAATTAGGATCATCCCTTTGGTTAATAAATAAATGTGTTTGTGCTAGTACATGTATGTGCATTCTTTAACCTTGTGGGGAATTCATAATGAATTTTAATAATTATAAACTGAATGAATTCCGGGATAGTCGTGATGTACTTTATTGACATTGTATTCTAGCAATTTATATGGAGAGCTACTTTTACATTAAATACAGTACCAGTCATCTACGCTTGCCCTACACTATTTGAAATTTGTATCAACTAAAGAGTATTACATTTCTAGTAGAGACTGTTCTCATTCAAAAGCAGCTACATACATTTTAATTTGAATATTAGAACAAATATTAAACCATTATTGACTAAACACATACTTTTAATGGTGTGCTTATAACTAGTATTCAGGAATTTGGAACTAAAATTTTATTGAGTAAACTTATCGAGGACTTACCATGTGCCAAAAACTGTTCTAGAGGTTGAAGTATATCTGAACGTAATAGACACATCATTGCCTGTGTAAGGAAACTCTCCCAGCTTTAGAAAAGCAATGTGTGCTCATTAACAAAAGTAAATTCAGCTCTAAAATACTTCTTATGTGTAATTACACCAATACATGTCATAAAGCTATGTAAAGAATAACTGGAATTGTAGTGAACCTGTGTTCTGTTTCTTGGATCCCAACACATATCCACAGTTCACGTTTGGAGAAGTAGGTTGCCAACCCTGGTGTAAAGCCTTGTATACATGATCCTTAATAATTGTTAAGAAGCTGGTACCATTATCACCATTCTGCAAATAAGAAAACAGGTTTTTGACTAACTTCAAAGACAAAGGAAGTAGTGGAGTTGGAGTGTGAGCCTATATCTCGTCAAGTCCACTCAGGGATTCAGTCATTCTATGACACCACCTCTTCTCACCTTGTACAGAGATCCCAAGTCTGAAGTCTCCAAATGTAATAATGGATACTTTTAAAAACCTCCCTCCCTGTGCTGAGATATTAGCTGGTAAAAGTTAGATATCATCGTTCTGAGCAAATTACAGAAACAGAAAACTGAATTTCATATGTTTTCCCTAGTAAGCAGGAGCTAAACACTATAAGCACACAACCTCAAGGATGGGAACAACAGGCAACTAGGGTACTCCTAAAGTGGGGAGGGAGAAAGGGGATTAGGACTGAAAACTACCCCACTGGATATCATATCCACCACTTGTGTGATAGGCTCAATAGAAGCTCAAGCCTCAACATCATGCATTGATTCTATGTAACAAACCTGCACGTGTACCCACCCCCCCAACCTTGAAATGAGGCTGATCTGAATTGAGGTATACACATGGGATTTTCAAAGACTTGATATAAAAAGTAAAATATTAATGATTTTTTAATGTTGATTGTGGCCTAGGCAACATAGCAAGATCTCTCTACAAAACTAAAAAAAAAATTAGTCAGGTGTGGAGGCACATACCTATAGCCCAGCTACTTAGGAGGCTCAGGTGGAAAGATCACCTGAGCCCAGGAGGTCAAGGCTGCAGTGAGCCGTGATCATGCCAACTTGGACAACAGAGTGAGACCTTGATTAAAAAATAATGTTGATTATATATTAAAATAACATTTTTGGATATAGTTGGTTATCTCAATATTGTATATTAATAACATTAATTTTACTCATTTATTACCTTTTTAAATGTGGCTGGGGAAAATTTAAAAATTACAGGCATTTTTCTGTTTCTACTTTTTTTTTTTTTTTTTTTTTTTTTTGAGTTGGAGTCTCACTCTGTTGCCCAGACTAGAGTGCGGTGGCCAGGTGGCCACCGCAGCCTCGACCTGCTGGGCTCCGGCAATCCTTCCGCCTCAACCTTCCAAGCAGCTGGAACTACAGGCACACGCTACCACGCCCGGCTATGTACTTTTTTAATTGGACAATTTTTCTAGACATCCTTTCTATTTGAATTTCCATCTTGCTTATTTTATTCTTCATGGTACGGTTCCTCTTTCACCTCCTTTTCTAAAAATCATGTATATTTATTGACATTCTCCTTGAATCAAGTACTTGAAGTATTCTGTAATTCTTAGAACCACCCTGGTTGATGTGTATTAACTATGATTTTTCCTCATTATATGTGAGGAAACTAAAGCCTGGAGTCTAGGTACTAGTCCCAAGCTGTACAGCTGCAAGTCAGAGAACAGATCAGACCCCAAGTTTATCTGACCTTACAACCTATGCTATGTTAGCCACCATGTTCTAATGCCTATGCTACTTCAGTTTATGAATGGGAATATCACTCGAGGAACAGTAGTTGCATTTTTCTTTTTGGAGAACTGTTGACAGTTTGGGTGAAATAACTTTATGGTGGGACTGTGGCAAGCATCATAGTACTTTTATCATCTTAAGATCAAGGCCACAAAATGCCCAGGATACCCACTAATCTACCTTAAATACCCAGTACATTTCTAGATGTCCTCTAAGGGCATGGTACACTTGGTTGAGAACCACTGGGTAGTAAAAGTGTATCACAACTTTATGCTACCTGGTGTCAATTAAGCGCTTGCTTTTGCTGAGCAATTCCTTAATGATTGAAAAGACCTAAAACCAATGCCTTTGTTGATACTTTTTATTTCCTCTTAACTCATAGCATGCTGGAATTCATTATGTTTAGTTCTGCAACACACAGGATCACTTTTACTACACATCTATCAGGTCTGATTTCTTTCCTATGCTTCAATGCTTTGTTGCCCATAATCTACTAGACATTGCCATTTGAATGCATGTCTTATATTAAGCTAGTTTAATTTTTCTGAACTATAGTATAGTGATTTAAAGTGCTTAGGTTGAGGAGGTAGACAGTTCTGGAATCCAATTCTGGCTCTCTACCCTTTAATAATTGTGCGACTTAGGGCTTATTTAACTTCTCTGAACTCTAGTTATATTCTTTGTAAAAGGATGCAACATAGAGTTGTTTTAAAGATTAAATTAGATAATGTGTGAAAGCACTTTAGCACAGAGCCCATAATATAGTAAAGGATTAATGTCCCACCAACATTACCCAATAGAACTTTCTGTGAAAATGTGGAAATGCTCTGTAATATCTGCAGTCCACTGTAGCAGCCACTATCCACATGTGGGTGGGTATTGAACACCTGAACTGTGGTGAGTACAACTGAGGGATTTAATTTTTAATTTTACTTACTTAACTAAAAACAAATTTAAATACCTACATGTGGTCCTTAACTGGCTGATGTGGCCAGCACAGGATGCTAACCTAACACTTTCCAAAATCGAATTTCTTTTTTAAAAAAATTCCTAACCTATTCCTCTTGAAGTATTCTCTGTCTCAGTTCATGGGCATGTCATTTTCCAATTCTCAGGCTAAATGCCTAATTTTTTATTACTATCTTTCTTTCCTAGCTCATATCTACTCCATTAGCAAAGTATTTCAATTTTACCTTGAGAACATATGTGGTACAGTTACTTTAGAGCATATGCAGAATTGTTAATTATTTAGCACATATGTAGAACATCTTTGGAACACATATAGAACATAATTATTAATTATTTAGAACATATGTAGAACAATTTCTTCTTACCTCTTACACAGATACCACCCTCATTCAAACACCATCATCATCTCTCCCTTTCTCTGCCTGTTTGTATCTTTTTCCTCCCAGAGCTATCATTTTCATAAACAAGCTAAAATATGTCTCTCTTCTATTGAGAACTTCCACTGTCTTCTCATTTCACTAGTAGAAGTCATAGTCTTTACAGAGGCCCTGTTGGATTTGCTTGTGTCTTCCAACTTCCTAATACCCGCCTCCTGATTTCATCTCCTAACACTCTCCTCTCCAACATTCCATCTTGGCCATTATTGAAACAAGCCTGTGTTCTTGCTCAGGGTCTTTGCACCTGTTGCTCCTGCCTGAAACAATCTTCCCCAAGGAATCTGCAGCCCACATTTTCTCATTTCCTTAAGTTTTCTTCTCATGACTCCCTAATGTGAGTCATTCCCAGACCACACTATGTATAATAGCTACCCTTCCCCCATACTCTCAATTCCCCTAAGGCACTCTATTTTACCCCATGGCTTATCACCAATTCTGGCTGACTATATGTTTACTTTTTTTTTTTTTTTAACTTTTGATCATCTGTCTCCTCCATTAGAAAGTGAGTTGCATGAAGAAGGGACTTTGTTTCTAAAGTGTTTTCTCTCTAGTGTTCAATTAGGGCAGAACCCAGCACATAGAAGATGTTCAATAAATATTTGTTAAGTGAACAAATTCATTAATAAATGACTTCTTGATATCTATTTATCACATTTCTGTATTGTTTAAGCCCCTTTATAATGTTGCTTCAATCTACCTTATTTTTAAAAACCATATTTTTAAACTTTTTACAAACTGTTTGGCTTTAATCAGGTCCTTTACCCTAGAAGTACTGTGCTTGATGACTGTGGGATAAGAAAATTTGAAATAGGAATGAAAGGATTCAACCTTGCTTCTGAACTGGCACATCATGGCACTCCCCTCTACCAAAAAACAGGCCACCCAATTTTGATCAATGTACACAATTTATTTTACTACAGTTGAGTATTCTGCTAATAAAGTTTGTCAAATAGCACTGGACCTGAGTTTGTGGAACATGGTCCAGATTAGATACAATTTACTACAAGGAAGATGGTTTAACACAAGTCAAACCCTTGTCAAAGAAAAATGGACAAGAGCAGATGACAGCTTTTTGATTGTGTTCTTGCACACTTGTGAGGGCATCAAATGTTCTCTTCAAGTGAACTCTGGGTGCCTGGGCATGAACAGTTACAGTCAATCATGACTATGAGATCTTTGTAGGCAACACGAGGATTGTTGTGTGCTCGTAGTGATTATGTTGCAGTTATTGCTAATATATCCTGTGATTTCTTGAGTCTAAATCCCTTCAACTATTCTCCCAAAGATCTGGTACTGGAAATTGTACTATGACCACGAAAAGGTTGGGAACCATCTTTGTAGCACCTAGATTTTGATGCTGCCAAGTCAACTTAGACTATTGCTGCTTATACATCAGTGATTATGACTGTTTCTTG